CACCACGCATTAGGTGCATGTGGAAAATGAGCACTATTTGTTTGGCCTTTCCTAGTGTGGGAGCTAGTGTAAGGAGGAGAAGATGGTAGTTTGTACAGGAATGCAAACAACTTTGCAAGGGGTTGACCATCACCATGTGCCGGGCACGTGTGACCAAGGAGTTATGTTTGTTTGACATTTGAGAGTGTACGAGTGTGTGTGATCAGAGTGGAGGCATTGTCAAGAAGCAGCTGATGTCATGTGATGAGGCTTGATTTGATCCCTGTTTTCTGTGGGTGGGAGTTGTTGAAAGAGAAGATGTGAGGTACTTAGGATTGATTCAGCTCGCTGTTTCTTGTGGGTGTTTTCTTATGGTGAAGGATGCCAATATCCCTGAGCTTGCGCTCATGTTGGAACCCCTCAGTGCCTTATGGGACCGATTGATGGTGCTGCTTGAGGAGTGGCCAGAGCATCCAATTCTTCTACAGCTGGTTCGAATCATTGAACGCGTGTTGAGCCTTTCAGAGACAGCACCAATTATGAAGGTGATGACATCGTTTTTCATATTCTTCTACAGCGTCTCCCATCAAACTACCCCTTTGCGACGTGCTCTTTCGAGTCTGTCGATTTAGGCTCCTTCCCGTCTGCTGACTGTGTACACAACCAACATTACAGTAAACCTACATGATGGTAGAGGCCACTCGCCAGAGAGAGCTCATGAACGTAAGTAGACAATGGATCAGTGAGCAACTGTAATCGCCATCAATCTTGGTCTGAGGGGCGATTACGTATGGCACTCACTCAGAACAAAGAATTACAAATTATCACATCAGATTACAAGTGGATGAAATCGGTTGAGTGGGTTCGGTAGGAAATGGAATTGCACGTGTTTAACTTTATGGATTGAACAAGATTCAAGCTGGAGAAATGGTCGAATTTTCCATGATCTGTAATTCTTACTGGTTGTGCAACTTTGGAAGCACATGACAAGGACAGTGGGATTAGTTGTTCTTTGACCCTAATTTCTCACCCGTCCTTGATAAGGAGGGGTGGCCAAGGACACCTTGATCTGTGAGGACGCCTTTATCTCACCTACGAGCTTTCTTCTAAAGACTAGAACGAATGAGGTGGAGGTGGCAAAAGCACCAGAACAAGCAGCAACTGGCACATGATTAAGTCTGGTTAACATCGTTGATGCTCGTTATGCATAATCAACTTAAATCAAGGCTTTTTTAAAGTTTTTTACCTTTCTTTTCGGTGTGTGTGCGTTTTTTTCTTTTTCTTTCTCTCTGGGTAGCATCAATCTGGTTCTTTCCCTGGCAAGTGGTATGTACAGCAAACGTTCAAACATGCTTCCTTCTGTTTTGACTGAAGGAACGCCTTTACAGCTCTATTCTCCTTTATCATCAAGAAGTGCTTGATCTCTGTCGAAGGAGCGCCTTCGCAGCATTGTTCTCCTTTCTGTTCAGAAAATGGCTGACCAGGATGGCTTAGATCACCGCTATGCGAACAAAAGTACACCAGTCAACAAGAGTGCTGCACTGGGTTTACTGGCCTACCTGTGCCTGGTAAAATTCATTCATGAATTGTAAGTGACGAACTTTCCGATACATGCGGCTCAACATTTAGATTTGCCAAAACAGGCTTGGGGGAGGTGGTGGTGTAAAAGCATTTTGTAAGTTTGTGCTGCTCCAGATAGGTCAGGTGACATAGATCGAGAGTGGCCGTCAATCCTGTAGAAAGAATTTGCTGGTGAGTAAATGAAACAGGGGTATCAATACATCACAATATACCATACACGTATCGCAAAGCTTTATGTTTTTCCTCTATCATCATCAAGCATTATTATTTTCATGGAGCCTTTTCCCTTATAGGGACTATTCCATGTTTGTGATGAGTCTCAATTATGGAATGCCAATATGTGGGGTGATGCGTTGATAGAGTCGATGCATCACAATATACCATACATGTATCGCAAAGCTTGTTTTTCCTATATCGTCATCAAGCATTATTATTTTCATGGAGCCTTCTCTCATAGGGACTATTCCACGTCCCAATTACGGAATGACAATATGTGGGGTGATGCGTTGATAGAGTCAATACACTCGTTGTTTGCCTTATGGGGAGATCTTATGGACCAATTATATCCAAGTTTTAAGGGTGGCTTGGAGTAGCCTCGCCGCATGTCTGGTCTGTTTTCTATGCCTCGTAGGACGATGTGGTGGATAAATCCACTAAACCTTGTTGTTTGCCGGACGATGTGGTGGATAAATCCACTAAACTTTGTTGCTTGCCTGGTAGGGCTTTCTAAACCGGGTTGTATCCTTGCGTCTGTGTGTGGGACCATTAGCGTATTGTTTTTGAATTGTTCCTGTTTCGTGTGGTGGGCCGCCTCTTGTTCCTGGATCATCTAGGCTTTAGTCGGTCTGGAGCTGCTGCTTGAGAAGGCGCAGCTGTGGGAGGAGAACGCAGCAAAGCATGTCTCGCTAGCCGGTAAGAGGAGGTGCTTGCAGCAACGTTAATGCCAACAATTACCCCTTTTTCCTTCAACTGGTGGGTTCAAGTAAACAACTGTTAAGATGGATTGTTTTCTGATGTGAAGAACATTTGTGAAAATGAACTAAGATGATTAAGAAAAAGACAGCAATGGAAAGAAAAATTGTGGGCACAAAAACTCAGAAGCCGTAGCAAAAACAGCTTTGAAAAGAAAGTGATGTTAAGAGCGTTTTTTTAAAACTGACTAGAAGTGAAATGGAATGAGCTTGATGCTGTTACCCATGCAAATGTTGAATCCGCCTGCTATTCGTGAACTGAGTTGTTGCCAGGAAAGGGGTCTGAAGTTTGCTGTTTCATGTTCCATTTATTCATGAAGCTGCCAACTGTCCGTCTGTCAATGCATCTGCCTATTCCTTGCTTGTTTCATGCATCTTCTGGTCTCTCAGCCCTTTGTTCATATGTTTTCTTGGTCTTTTGTGCAGCAAGGCAATCGTCATTGAGTCTCTGGATTGCACAGGGGAATGAGTGAATTTAACGTCCGTTGCTATCATTTGGTTGTCTGTGTATCTTTTCTGCTTTCTGCAGCGGAGTTGGATGTGATTGCAAGGCTAATTCAGCGGTGGCGAAAGCTGGAGCTCGCGTCTTGGCCTGGTCTGCTCAACTCTGTCGGCCAAAAGCACCGTGAACATGCGGAAAAGGTTTGGATCACCGCTCCGTTGTTTCTTCATCCAAATGTTTATTGGATTCTTCAAAACCCGCGAAGGCAAGAGCTGAGGAGAGATTGAGAGCAATGCAGCATTATTGATGATGTAGTAATATAGTGAGAAGTAAAACCTCTGGTACATTATCTACTTTTTGAGTTTTCACTCTTCACTCACTCACTCGTCCTGCTACGATGTCGGGATGTGTGACCATCTCATTTTCAAAGGGAACATAAAACCAGGACCCCTATTCTACTGTTGATCAACAGTGTAGCAGGTCACTGTTGTGTGAGGCACTTCTAAGGTCAAGGGTTCAGATACATATCATCAAGTTTCAGCTTTGATTGAAAGTTGATGCTCATATCTATTCATTGTATTCAACCATGAAAATGCCTCAGAAGTCGTGCTAGACTGATTGATGACTTGAACCTTCAACTTCCTGCTGTTCCTTACCTTCACATTTGGCCGGTGGGGGGCCAACATCCGCTATCACCCTTCCCTTCCCTTTTCCCTCTTACTCAGTCGAATTTGTTAGGGTTTTGGATCTCTTGCGGGTAGCTTTTTACTAGTCTTTAGTTATCCAGATGCTCACAGGGTCTTTTAGCAATGTATTATGTGATTTGTGATAGATTTAGCGCTTTCCTTGCCTCATGATAGATTAGTAACCTGGAGGCCACTGGTATATGTTGCTAAAGTTGAGCATTTGAGCCTTCATTTGGACCTTACTGGACCGTATTACTGATGGCTATTTCCCATAGAACCACCTCAGAAAACATTGTCGAGTAATTTAGTGAGCGATTTTGACTTTGATGCAGGGTTGCATACCTGCTGAAAATGGTGTATAACACATCTACCAGGACGAAAACCATGTTCGATATGAGAAAGATTGGATTCTCGGTGTGAATGGACCTGATTGTTTGGCCAAACAGATTTGTAACTTGACCGCCGACCCCGACCGCCGACCATTTTGCAGCCGACCAGCAGGGCCGACTGGTTGGTGGTCTGCCGACCAGTCAGAAAACAGCCATCCACTGATTTTTTTTTCAAATCTGAGTTGGGGGCTGTAGTGTACTTGCTGAGTACATCCCAAATCCGTTGAGAAACTTTTGGGGATGGGAAGGGTATACGGGGGTATAGGGGTGGTATAGGGGTACTCTGGGGGGGGCGTAATGAGGGTGTTGGGGGTGTAGGGGGGGTTCATGGGGGTATTGGGGGCGGGTATGGGGGTGTTGGTGGGGTTATTGGGGGTTCTGGATCCAAGTATATATCCCTCTCTGCCTACGGTTTACTGGGCAGCTCTGTTTGGCGATATATATATCTAGGCTGTAAACCCGGTAGGACCGGCGAGCCCTCCCGCAACCGGAACCAGACCGGTCGACCGGTCCAGTTACCCCCTGGTTGGCTGTAGCGGATCATTTTTTTTATTTTTTTTTTAAAGCCAGGTAATTGTAGAGGCCAAGGACTAGACCCACGGTGATCGGTGGCAGCGGCAGCCGGTGGTTGTCGTGACAGGATAGGCCACCTTCCCTACCCTTACTCCCAGTGCACCTCCTATCCGTACTATCCCACCTCAGTGTGACCAGCACTCAGGACCATCACCCTACCAGTATCGAGGGCAGCTTGGACCAGACGGCAGTGACAAGCACCAAGGGGCCGTAGCACATCCAATCTGGGGGGTCTTACCGTTTTTTTTTTGGGCCAGGAGGCCTCCACACTAGGCCTTTTGGGTGGGAAGTACCATCCCTACCCTGCCACTAACAGCCCCACCCCCCTTTTCAAAGTGTTGGGCGGAAAGTTAACGTTTGCAGAAAGGCAGGTACGTTGTTGTCAATGTCTGCTGACGCCCGTGCTTGCTGAAACCCCTAAACCCCCCAACCCCCAACCCCTGAAATAAGCCCCCACCACCACCACCACCACCACCACCACCACCAAACCCCCAAACGAAACTTCTCTGTTCAAAGTATTCTTTGCGGATTCGAGGAGATCTCGGCGAGCGCAGTCCAACCATGTTTTCAAAAATAATAATAATAATAATAATAATAATAATAATAATAATAATAATAATAATAATAATAATAATAATAATCGACCCACTTTTGGGCCCAACCGGAGGTCCAACCGGCCGGTTGTCGGCACACCTAGATATATGTACACAGTTCAGCCTCCTGCTGAGTCAGTGAAACTCCGACGAAACAGTTTGTCACAGCCCCTCATTTGTTGTTCTCTTCTTCCTCTCTGCCTATGGTTTATCGGACAGTTCTGTTTGACGATACCTACGGTTTACCCGGCAGCTCTGTTTGAATTTTTTTTATTTTTTTTATTTTTTTTTTTGCGGGGTGCCGACGGACCCCGACCGAGAGGTGCTGTCCAGCCGACCGGTCAAGGGGCGCGGACCGTCGGGGTATGCGACACTGCTTTGATGCCCATTTCCCATAGAACCACCTCAAAAAACACCGATGAGTACGGAGCACTTTTGAGTTTGATGGTATGAACTGTGGGCTGGTGTTGTTGATGTTTATTTAGTATTTACTATTTACTATGGAAAGAGTTACTTTCCAGTTTTGATGGTTTCCTCAGTTTCCAACCCTGCTGAGGGAAAAAAATGTAAGCATCAGACTCTTTTCCCATCGGTTTGTATTCTCTTGTTGTCGGTGTTGCACTGCTGAGCTGGAGGATCCCTTGGCTTCAGTCAGCGAGAGTCCCATTTGAATGATGCAAACTTTGCAATGTGCAATTGTCTTCTCACTGTGTTTTGAGCACAAGGCAGGTAATGGAAGGCATGAACAACCAGCATTGTACTTTGCCATGGGTGATGAACTTCATTGGGCATGGGACAGTGTTCTTTGTTATCTTTCCTTTCTTTTCAACTATAAAACTTGGATAGTTTGCCAAATTGCCAATTTGGTACATTTCTCTATTTGTGTGTTATATCTGCCATGCTATCTCGGTATCCTTTCCACATCTCTGCAAGTTTAACGGATGGATGTCCATAGGCCTAAGGACTACTATTCTTTGTTTTCTGTTCCTTAACATTGTGATTGCTTTTCCTTTTCAAACCGGCAGTTCACCTGAAGCAAAATGCTGCTCGTACCGGTTTACGCAGTAAGAGCATTTCAATTCAGGCCTGGGCCAGTAGCAAAAGCTGTCAGGCCACTTGAAAAGGCACAGTTGCAGGTTCGCCAGCCATGGAAGGTAGCTTTATCAGCTTAGGCTCATGTGAACTGGTGGTTTGTACGACCAGTACTTCTGGGCCACTTTCTCCCGGGGCTCCAAACATACTGCGCGCCAAGCTTTGTCGAACCGCCAGCGCGACGTTTTTCGTTTCGTTTGGCTGGCAACACCGGCCATTGTGCTCCGGTAGCCCCGAAGCCTGGTTAACACAGCGCGTTAACATCAAGGGCCCCTGTGGCCGATGTATGGGCGAAGTCCTGGTGGCTTAAGGGCAATACTGCAGAGGGGCCCGGCTCTTGTGGCAGGTCACCAAATATCTTATCCATAAGCATGTGACAGGTCAGTACATATCCGGAGACATCAACACATATCGGGCCATGTGACAGGTCAGTACATATCCGCAGACATCAACACATATCGGGCTTCGCTCTACTGCACAACCTTAAATATACCTGGAGCTGGAAGTGGTCTCATTACATTCAAGACATTCCATCCGCCCCAATGTATTTGGTCAAGTTTCAGTCCAGATACATGTATGTAGAGTGTTGAGTAGTGGAGCGAGGCCCATCCACACACAGGCCATGTGACAGGGCAGCACATACTCATAGACATGTACGCATATCCACACATGGGCTGTGTGACAGGTCAGCACACACACACACACACACACACACACACACACACACATGCTTATTGACCCTTCTTGTAGTGGGTACTATGATTATCCACAGAATAGCCCCTTCTTCTAGTGGGTACTATGATTATCCACTTTGACACTCTTCTTCTGTGTCCTTCTGCTTGAGAGGACTTTTTTTCTTTTTTTTTCTTTTTGAAGTGCAGACCTCTTCTAGACAAACAATCTGTGATCTAATGGGGTACATGCTTCCTCTTTGTCTTGCAATGGCGATTTTCCGTGAAATGTGTGCAGATGTGGTTTGTCCTTTACGGTTTACTGCACCGTCCACTGAGTGAGAATGTTGAGGCGGACATTATGGACACGACAGCCAGGTCAGAAAGCAATTATGTTTCTTTCGTCTTTTCTGTTGGTATTGCTTGTAAATCAGTCGTTAGTTATGAATCTTATGATCGATTGCTTGTTTGGTTAATTCTATTGCTCTCTTAACGATAGTGTCTGCAGTCTGCATCCAAACATCAGGCGTTCTTTTCTCTGGAAATAAGGGCTTGCTGGAAATCGCTACTAATGCGATCATAGTGAATGAACTAGCCAAAGTATGACAGTTTGTCACATGGTCCATATGGGACATGCGGTATAAGATATGGAGGGCAGTGGGCACTAAGTAAAAGTCTACCATATGTAGGAGGGAGCAGAGTCAAGTGGCGGAGCAGTTTGCTCTGAAGTCAAAGGTCAGACTCTGGAAACCCAGGGCATCATAATGAAGTCTGCACGTTGATAAGACTGCCGACCCCGACCAGTAGTGCCGACCGGTCGGCGGTCTGCCCACCAGTCAGAAAACAGCCTTTGATGTTGGGGGCTGTACTGCGCTTGCTGAGTACAGCCCAAATACGTTGAGAAACTTTTGGGGATTTGGGGGGTTGGTATTATGAGGGTGTTGGAAGGCGGTTTGGGGGTGTTGGGGGATTGTTCGCAGCCCGTCAGGGGTGCATTATTCCCCCTTTGAGACATGGAGACATTTTTTTGTCGTCCTTCGTTATACCGGTCGTTCATTACGGGTCGTTTGGTCGTTGGAGGGCTGGAAAAATGCAAGAAGGTGCAGGTATGGCACTTTGGGGGGGGTGGCAGTTTGTCTGAAAAATGAGGGTCCGGTAGCTGCCGGTGGGACCAAGCTTTGGGTTTTGGTTGGAACTGGTTTTGGTCGAAATCGAAACGGTGGCAAAGCAGGGGCAAATGGAAAGGGCGCACAGGGCCGGGGGCAGGGGCTGAAAAGTCCGACGAAAGTGCGCAGGCTCGAAATCGAAACGGTGGCAAAGCAAGGGCAAATGGAAAGGGCGCGTGGGGCCGGGGGCAGGGGCTGAAAAGTCCGACGAAAGTGCGCACTCTCTCTCTCTCTCTCTCTCTCTCTCTCTCTCTCTCTCTC